GAGATGATGTGCAGATTTTGGAAATAAATAACAAAAATGAATTGAAGACAACTCGGCATACAAGTACAAATCCATTCAAAGTCAAATGTGTTGTTGTCACAGTTAAGACTGTAGGAGTGTATCAGGACCACATCAATGCGGGTGACATCTCACAATTATGCAAGAATGTCCTTGTCTTCAAAGTTTGTGTGGACAGGTGTACACTGTATATGCTTCAGTAGATGTCAACCTGTCTTCATAAACACCATTAATGTTAAAATGGCGTGAAAGAAACTGGAGTCGCAAGGCACAGGAAATGTATACTTGTGAATATGTTTACTTCTATTAACATTACATTTTCTATTGCATAATTATGCATTTCCATGGCTGCATCCCAAAACATTCTCTCTGGCTGCCTCTGATTGGATATGCTATGAAGAGAAGAAATATAGACAAGCACTGTGCGAGGTGCAGCAAAATTATAATAATGATCCATTAAGCATCTACAGCGTTCACAAAGATAAATTACAAAGAGCTCAAGGTTTTCCTTGTCCTTGCGAATGGCAGTGAACAGTGTTTAGTGAAGGTAGGCTGATGTTTACTAAATCATACACTGTTTACCTGTGCACACAAATTTTGAAAAAGGTACAATCTTGAGTAATCGCAAGAAGTCAAAATTACAGTTTGGTTCTTCAATAGTTGCTGGTATTGTTGCGATATTCACTTTATAAATTCTGAGTGCAGGAAATGATGTAACATGCACTGAAAAATAAAAAGGGTTAAAATCCTGTTTAATCATTTCATCATCCAGACACCTTTAAAATTCTCTTGTCCCGTTGTCTGATTGCACAATTTCAGTCTTTGTGATTATCCTTTGAGGCAAAAAAATTTGACTTGGAAAAGATCTTCATCCAAATAAGAGAATTGAGGTAAAAATCAAATCAAATACTGAATGAAAACACTGAATTTGAGTATCTGACAATTGACTGATGCTCAGCTGAGTTTTATTGAAACGGAACAAACGTAAAAGTTATAAATACAAAGAACATCAGAGAACAAACTGCTATGGCTCTTAAGGTAAGCCAAACCAAATTCTATTGGGCAAGTTCAAAGAAAACAGGAAGTTATGGTATCAGTTAAAAAAAAACAACACAATTTGTCTACCTCTAGAAATGCTAGGCATACACTTTACAAAACTTCGATTTCTTCCTTCCTGTGGATTCTTTTTTCCACCATTGCAAAAAAATGAAGTGTGAAGCTCTAACCATATGCATTTATTTACAAGCAAATCCCTAAGCAACTATGAGAAACCACAAATAAAGGGAGTACAAGAAGGGGGAGGGAGGAAAGGGGCACGGACGAAAACTTCCTGCAAGGCAATATCATTATTTAATGTCCTCTCAGACTTTTGAGAATCAATGTCCACTTTTTTTTGTAAATGTTCATTGTTGGCTTTAAAAGAATCAGGAACAAAACGTAACAATAAAAGTGTTTTGAATGTTTTTTTTCTCTTTTTTTAAAGACACATGTCCCATTGTAACCGTAGGAGTTAAATGATTCACCACAACGGTTACGTTCATATCTTCAGCCAAAAGGCTTTCCAGCCAATCATCTCGAGCCAATTCTGGGGTCTGTCCGTTTTTTTCTCTCTCTGATATATATATATACACAGATTTGTTTTCATGAGGGATGAAGAATAAAAAGTCAATCAAAAAATTGTGGCCAATCTCCTGTGTTTTTTTTTTCTTTTTATTGTTGTTTTTCCTCTTTTTTTTTGTTGTTACTTTGCCAAATACCTTTTGGTTCATCTACTTCCACTGCTGCCCATAAGAATCCTGTGAAAACTCCATGGTGTCATTACTGTAACCATAGTTACCGGAATAGTCGGCCCCTTGCTGCAGGGGCTGCTGGGCGATGGGCTGGGACCCCCAGTTCTGTTGGTTGTTGGTCTGGCGGCGCTTGGAGTCAGGCTGGTTAAACACGTCTGCCTTCCTCTTTCCCCCGACGTTACCCCCGCGATTGCCCCTGGCCCCACGAGGACCGCGGCCCCTCTGCGGCTGGAAAGGGGCTCCCCGCCCTCCTCGGCCACCCCTCGGACCACCGAGGGGAGGCCCTCTTTGGGCGTAGCCGCCCCGGCCTCGTACCGGTGGTGCTCCACGAGCTCTAGGTGGAGGAGGCCCCCCTCTGCTGGGACGAGTACCACGGCCCCTCATGCTGTACACATCTTCGTAGCCGTAGTAAGGGTCTTCATAGCCACCACGGTAGTCATGATAGTCGTAGCCGTAGTAGTCATCATAGTAGTCTTCATATCCATAGTAATCTGGCGGATAGGCATAGCCCCCTCGGCCACCACGACCCCTGCCTCGGCCTGGTGGAGGCATGCGTGGAGGTGGGTAGTAGTAGTAGTCGTCATACCTGCCGAGGGGAGCATAGTGTTACACTTAATGCATTCTTTATGCGAGAAGTCGGGCCAGTCATATGTCTCTGCCTCTCACCCTGCATTCCTGGTGGTTTGCCGAGCTGCTTGGCGCTCTTTCCTCTTCTTGTCTGGGGGCTTTGCCAGGACGATCTCAATTTCCTCTCCTCCTAGCTCCTTCCCATTCATCTCATCCATTGCCTAAACAAACAAATCAATTATTTACTGTAATCCACATGGACTCAAACATGCAAAATACCTTGTCCAAAGCTTAAAAAAACCCACATTAACGGCAGCATCCCTTTCTTCAAAATGGACAAAAGCATAGTCTTTCAATTTCTTCACTCGCTCCAGCTTTCCAAACTGAGAGAAGGTTTTTTCAAGGAGCTCTTCAGTCACAGCAGTGGCCAACTTCCTTACAAAGAGCACCTTGACCTATGAAGACAAAACCTGAATATTTATTACCCTGTCGAACAAAGCATGCTTTTTGTGTAAAAAGCAGGACACGAGACTTGCTAACCTTGGCCATGACCTCCGGGTCTGGCTCTGCAACAGGGTCAGCCCACTCTACAGTGACTGGGTTCCCCCACACCTTGACCTTGCCACTCATTAGGCGGCGGCGGGCCTGTGCTGCGGACTTGTGGTCCTCGTATTCCAGGAAACAGAAGCCACGGTTCTTCTTCTTGTCATCTGGCTGGTGATACAATATCACCTCTTGGAGACCCTCTGTAAGACAAAACAATGGCATCTCTAACTTCCAAAAAAGTCTATTGTTTATGACTGAGGCTTTGTGTTAATGCGTTTGACTCAAATCCACCTCTGTGCTTTTGAAACTTACCTGTAACTTTGCCAAAGTCTTCCAAAATACTTTCTCTTGTCTTGTTCTTTGGAATTGATCCGACAAACAGGCGATTGTTTGCAACAGATATACACACTCCCAAGTACTTGCCAGGGCGGATTTCATGGTTATCACACTGAAAATGAAATGGAGAGGCCAACTCTGAATTCCTATTTATATCTTTACAGTACTTCTCCAGAAATCAGACTATTATCCTTTAAAAAGTCCAGTTGTTATATGGTTTCATGCAGTTCTTCCAATACCTTGCCAGACTACTTACAAGCTTCACAGCCTTTTGGGCATCGTCCTTATTGCAGTATGTGATGAAGGCGTAACCTCTATTCTGACCAGAGAGAGGGTCCATCATTAACCTGAGGTCCCATATGGGACCAGCAGACTCAAAGAGCGGAACCAGTTCGTCTTCATACAAATCCCTTGGGATTTTTCCAACAAACACCT